TTTGTCATAATGTTATCATCCGGCGTGTGGATTTTAAAAGGTTAGTTTAGTCTGCACTTGGCTTGTAAGTGGCGGCTGATTAATGAGGAAGAAGATATGCATATTTACTGTTCTCCCTTCAGTCAGATCTCTGCTGCTTAGAAGAGCCATCTAGAAGAAGGCTTAACGTCCTTTCAGACTAACGTCTGCCCGGCGCCACAACTTTCTCACCATTCTCTCTTCCTCCAGGACTCGTCAATTTGATTGTCTGTCTGGCCCTTCGTACATTATCTGCTGGCACTCAGGCCGAGCCCTTCTCCAATGCCTGAGATACCGAGGGCAAGATGAAAGGATAACAAATTAGATTATTTGACCACTTTGTCAGAGGGAACTTATAAGAAACAAGGCTAAAGCAATAATTTTGGAACACTTTATCTTGCTTGATCATATTTTACTTGATGATGATGATGATGCATGGTTAGACGCAGCAGACAGAGTAGCTGACGGGTGTAGCAGCATGCTCCACCACCTCTGATAGATAGTTGGTAACCTGCATTTGAAATTTGTTTAAGTATGCTTTCTTCTGACCAGAAAATGATTCAAAAAATCCGCAAAGAAATTCAAACCAGCAACCACAACTTGCAAAACACAGAAATGAAAAAACAAAACAACTATTACTCACTGTATACAATCACTACCGTGTGCACAACGTCCACTAAATTTGCCCCGGAAACAGGTGATATAACATGTAAAGGGAGGGGTGTAAGCTGAATCAAAATAATAATAACTTCTTTTCACATTTAAAAAAAAAATGTTGAGCTCAAGTTAAAGGACCCCTTTATCAAAAGTTATAATTCTATCAAAAAGCGAGGCAGAGGAAGACTGCAGTTCTTTTATTTTCATTTATTTATATACTTTGGCAGCTTAATGCCAGACACACAACGTTGCTGGGAAATGTTCCACAATTTCATGTCCTTCACAGGCTGCTGCCGAACGGCATTAGTGAAAGTGAATTACAGCCTTCTGTGTGAGCTGATAGAGAAAGAAGGAGAAGGGAAAGGGAGATGGGAGGGGAGAAGACAGAAAGCGACTGATTTCTGCTCATTCACAACGATAAAATGGATAAACTGGTAGAGCAGGTGGCTTCAGCTTCCTTTGTGGGCCTCCTGGCAGGAATTTATTAGACTGGTTTGTTGGCAATGGTGCAGTGTAAATTTTAGTGTTTGCAAACAATCATCTGCTTCATATGTTGCAGTTCCACTGTTGTTTCAGCGTGAAGTCCTAGAATTGCATTGCTCATGCGATATATTATACACAGAAGACAGGTTTTGCATATTTTATGAACTTGAAAATAAACTTTCATCATTATTTTTTCATGTTAAATAGCTGAACTTAAGGGCTTTGAGAATCTGACAGAATAACTAGCCGTAAATGAAAGAAAGAGCGGCTCATTTTATCTGATGCTCTGTGCGGTCTTTTGAAACGTGTGCAACCTCAAAATGTCAGTCTTTTTATTAACTGATATAAAATACCTTCATTTTCAAAAGGACCGAATGAAAAGGATCATTTACTGTAAGGGGACTGGATGACCTTAAAGGTCATGTGTGAGGAATACCACAAAACCACAACGCTGCTACACTTTGTTGCTTATTTTGTTCTTAAAATTCGACAAAGCTGCAGAAGGTGGTGATCTCAAGTTAGATTAGATTGAATCAGCTCTTTATGTTTTTGAGTTTTGAAGCTGAATAGATTCATTGCAATGTTAAATGTATCTCTGCACTAAAACTGTATTATACATATATCAGAAATATTCTTGATCCTAAAACGATATATTCACAGACTCACATTTAAGGTGAGTCCAGAACCTGAAATATACAAGGGATAAGCTTTCAGTTAATTCAACTATTTCTTTATATGCAACAAGAAGGAATCAATAGCTCCATGTTAATCCACGTCTTGATCTCACCATGAGTGTGTGACGATAGCTTTCACGCACCTACTCTGCAGTCAGAGCAGATGTATGTGGATCTATCCGGGAGGAGGAAGTTCCTCAAGTTGGCGGTCCAGTTCAGTTGTTTCAGTGGCTCGATGCTTATTGAATTGCGTGCCCATTCCCACAGCTCCAGCAGGTCAAATGACTGGGATGTGTAGCTCACGGCCGCTAAGTGGTCTATCGATCAGTCAGCTGAGCCTGTGGGCTGATGGGATGTGCTGCAGCAGACTCGGCCAGGATTTGGCAAGCTGGTAATGGCTGTAAAATACAAAGCATTCCTACACAGATGAGAAGCACCAGAGTATATAGTTCCATGGCTGTGTTCAAAAAGTGGTGGAAAATTTGAAATGAAGGAACCTTTTAAATACAAGCGCGTCCATGCTCACAGGTGTACACACGGGTGCTCACACACACAAACTACACCCTTTTTGGCTCCTACCTCAAAGCACACTGTGCGGTGTCGATATTACGTGCTGCACAATAATGTTTAATATTTAGTATTTACTGTTATATTCCCATATATCATCGTGATGTTGTTTATTGTATTGCTCTCGTTTTCTTCTGCTTGTTTTCTTTTTTCTTTCTCAACAGGTGATCCAGGTGATTGATATATGTATTTTTTTCTGTCTGCTTATTTAGTTGGTTTTTGTTTTTTGCCCTTCATCCCCGTCCCTCTTCTCCACTGTTTTTTTCCCCCTCTTCCTTTCTCCCTTTTCTTTTCCTCATTCAAGTCTGTCCCATATCTAGCAAGTGAAAATAAAAAATAAATAAAATAAACAATAAAAGGTGAATCAAATAGACCATTACAGCAAGGCTGGGATGGTCAATTTGGTAAAGTAAATCCGTTGGGCATCTTTCCTCGCCTTTAGACAATAATTCTGATGGCGAAAGAACCAAACAGGACAGGCGCAAAAAAAAAAAAGAAATAAAGCCTTTTGATTTCGACTGTATGTGTGTGAACAAACTTTCATTAATTTTGTCCCAAAGTCAGAGATTTTCGTGAACCCTCGCTGTCCTGCCTCTTCAGATAAGTATTGACCATATCAGCAATATTAAGTTGTTTTGCTGCTTCGCAGACTAAAGTGACGTTGTGTGAAGACTGCTAATTTCAATCAATTGTCCCAAAAGCTCTGACAAAACACATCAGTCTCAACTGCTGCAAGTAACAGAAGACGATGAAGCCAAAAGACAAAATCCATGACTTGAGCAATCAATGTAATTGACCCATGTTACTCAGCCTCTAAGCACCTAAATTCTCATTAATGCAACAAAGTAATCAAACGTATTAAAAGATTATTTTGCACGACTTAAAAGTAAATCATCTTTATTACCATAACTGACAATGAAGGCAACCAAATGGAGACACTGCTCCATAATAAAATGGTTGTAAACATTTGTAAGCACCAATAACATACAAACACAGTTTTAAAAGGTGTAAAATGTAGATAAACACTGAATTAAATGATTGTAAATTTCATAAATCCACATTTTATTCTTAATAGCACATGGCCCAACCTTCTGTGAATTACGGTTTATATACACATATATTATTGGGCCAGACCGTATATTTAAATTTTATTTCACTCTCAGATTAGTTAAGTTCCAGCCATGTACGTGGCATTGCTATTAAGGATCAGGATTCTACACACATGTTTAATCTTTACATGCAAATCATCAAGGATGTGCATCTGATTTGTTCCTCCTGTATACTCGCCACAGCCTGTTCGAGTGACCCAGTGCCCGAGATTAAGGTTTGGCAAAGCCAGATTTAGCACCAGCAAACCAAATCCCAGTTTTTAAGAGCTTGGCTGACTGCCGACTAACTGCAACACCACAGCAGCAACCACCTCGTCAATCTATGTGACATAGTGCAGCATAATATACAGAGCGGAGAGTTTCTAGGTAAAGTGCATCTGCATCTACCTCCAAGAATAGTCCCATCAACACCGAGATTCATATAGCAGTTAAATTGTATCTCACAGCCTTCTGCAGCTGTAATATTATTCAGCTTAAATTATGACAGTGGTAATCTTTGCAAAAGTAATACTTTTAATTAAATGTTTAATTATGCATATAATTTCTTAACAAACAAACAGAGGCTAGATCACTGTTATTATTGACTTTGGTCGATATGTGATATAAAAACAAAATCAAGAATACAAAAATAAAACACCTTGGGTCACTATATTTGTTTTATTTTCTCATTATAAGGCCACGCTGATGTATCTGTTGTAAATTACTCATTCTCATGCCTCAGTGGCAACAACAGCGATGACTGGAGGCAACGTGTTTTTTAGGTCGGCTGTTTGTCTGTGCCTTCCTGTTGAACATGATTTCTTAGGAATGCCTTGAGGGAAGTTCTTGGTTGAGATTATTAAAGTGCGGAGCTATTCTTTCTCAACACCAGAGGTTGCACATTTGACAAATGTGTGAAAATAAAACAGAGATTACCACAAACCTTTTTTTCTTTTTACAATAAAGAAAAGAAAGCATTACATGTGACATGTAAGTACCTAAGAAGGGGCGAGAATATGTAAGTTACTAATGGATGCAGCTAGGTCCCAAAGACTGAAGTCCTCTTGAACAAAAACAGCTACTTATTGTTAATCGACTACAACCTACAGTCGTTTAATATAACCCACATTTTTTTAAATTCAACTGTGCACAAAACACCTGGTTTAAAATAATATTTAACAGTTTCTGGACTGGACAATGTGAGCTTTTAGTGGGAGTTTAGTGCAAGCTGCATGCAGCCATAATATTCTTGTAGCTCTATATTCCAAGTTGGTAATTCTTTGTTTTGGTTACATATATTTATAATTTTACAACAAAATCTACAGTTACACTGACTCACATATGTGAATGATGAAAACCAAGTGCAAGGCTCTTTAAATTCATTTATTTCTGCTGGATGTGTGCACACAGTCTTTTTCTTTACAAAAACACACACTTATAAAACAGTCCATTCTCTCAGAAGCACAAAGATAAATATATAATTTATACAGAATCCTTAAAAAAATGTTTACAAATGATTTTTGGCACATCGAAAAAAAAGCAGACAGGCTTCTTTTTTTTGCCAGCTTAGCACAATGTTTCCTATTCATCAAACAGACTATTAAACAGGCACATTTTGCAAGTGTAGCTTCAACAGATACAGACTGCTACAACATAAATCCCTTTAAATACTCCCAAACAGGGATCCAGCCCCTTTAGTCATTCACGATTTGCTTAATACAAAAAAAAAAATCACATCCTTTTAGGAAAAATAGCAGGTACCCCATAAGAACCCACATTCAATTTACCTCTGATTTATATAAAAACTAATAGTAAACTTATTATATACTTTAGTGCAATTAGCAAAATAAGATGCTTCATTTTTAAAATTCTTTTTGAATTCATCAAAGCATAAAATAAGGATTAAAAGTCAGCTCTGTTGTTAAAAAAACTGTTATTATACTATATATGAATGTAAGGAGCAACAGCGACATCCACTGGTTGTAACCATTAAGAGCAGACATGATGCACACAAATGAATCTCTTTGGTAATTTTCAAGATTTCTTTTTTTAAATGTCATTTGTGATTCATCATTAATGCAGATAAGCTCAGAGGGTAAAGTATCTTTATAAATAACTCTTCTCAGGATATGTATCTGTAGTCCCAGAGTTTCAAACCAGTTACTTCTTTTTGATCCCGTCTTCCTCGCTCATTTGTAGGTTTTAGTGTTTTCGTTTCAGTTTTTCTTCTCGTCTCCAGGTAAGAAGTAAGGATTTTCATGGCCTTGAACCAGATACGAGTAACGAGATGTATTTTTACCTTTGAAGGTCATCATTTCTTCTGGGTTGAGATCGTACGATCCCGTCTGAAAAGTCAGTAGAAGGAGTGAGTGTGACACTTTCATAAAGAAGCAGGGACTTCATAGGTTCACACACTTTTAAACCCACAAAACTCAAGACCCACACACAAAGGTAACCCCAGTCACCAGTGTAGACTGAAAAATTATTTATCACTACTCCCAAAAATATTGTCAGATGAATTTCTTTGAACATGCTGGATTTAGTGTGAAGATGAAAGCGCACTGCTGAGAAATCCCCGTTAAAGCTCCCCATCACCCAGAAAACCCATCACCTTCTCACTCTGGCATCTCTAAGTTATCAGCAGGGGTGTATCAAGGCAAATCAAGAATCTAAAAGCAAAGCCATGCCTTACCTTTTTCCATCCTTTCTGCTTCCGCTGAAACCCCTAAAGCAACATACTGGGAGTCAGGCAAAGCAGGGAGCGTGGCAGGGGGCTACATGCTAGCACTTTATTTACGATCACAGGAGTTAAAATGCATCATCAAAGCATCTGATTTATCTGGGTAGTGATGCAAGAAGGTTATGTGCCCAGTTATTAATTTGCAGGTCAAAAACAAAGGTCTAGTCTAGCTAAATCTGCCAGAAAGCAAGCTTTACCCACACATAGTTGCAGCTGTAGGTTGAGAGCTAGCGATCGTTGCCTACTAATCAATAGATTGGTGGGTCAGTTCCTGGTTTTTCCCAGTCTGTGTGTCGAAGTATCTTTGGACAAGTTACTGAAGTTGTCCCCAGTACATCCATGTGAGTGTGTAAATATTTTAAGTTCTTAAGCATAGAAAAAAGCACTTGTTTAAATGTATTTATGTGCATGAGGCTTATAGTAAAAACTTTTTTTTATATAAGTACTGTTTCATGTTCCATCTCCATGCAATTTGTTTTGTTTTCAACCTGCAAATCCTTGTTTACTGAGTGGGTTAATAAGCAGATGCAATCTAGATGTGAGATAATGAAGCAACTGAATGAACAAACATTTGATTTAGTTAGTAAGCAACAATATGCAGGACTTTCAGACTGAGGATTAGCAGTAAATAACTGAGACAGCAGAAAAACAGCTGCGGTAACTCACCATTCCGTTGCTTTGATGCCTTTTGTCCACCAGGACATTACTGCTGCCCCCTTCTGTCATCTCTATAGGAGGAGCTCCATCCCATTTACTGTTGGCACGGGGGATGGGCATGATGCCAGTAGGCCAGGGCTGGTTTAAGTCTTCTGTTGAGTAAGGGCTACTGCTAATGTCTTGCTTTCTATTTGAGCACAGCCTCCTGACATACAGAAAATAGAACAACAGTCACATTTTATGTTCTATTTTATATCTTGCTTTATTTTTTAAATCCAAGCAGTGAACTCCCACAGCAACAATCGTTTATTATTAACTGCAGCTGAGCAATTTTGCTACTCGTGCTTGCTAATGCTATAGTTGCCGCATATACACGAAGTCCTGAGGTTTTTTAAAATCTTAAAATTTGTGTCAGTTTTTAAAAACTATTCCGTCTGCTGGTCCAACAGTTTTGGATTCAGTTCTGCAGACACACTAAGTCTTTAGTTAAGTATAGTTTTTCATAGAGAAAAATTAACATGATTGAGGCTTTTGTTTTTCACAGGAGTGCAGAATATAATCACAACTTTGGCCCCGAGTCCTAAAGATTTTTAATAGCCATTTTATTTATTATTCTGGGCATATGACAACTTGCCCATTTCCAGCCAATCTAGTCCAAGCTACAAACGACCATTTGCACAGATAACTGGAGCTGTAAGATGCAGAGCGACTTCATTATCTTTCAGTGTGAATCACAGGCAATCAGTACATATGAGCAATGTTTGGGGGGGGGTATAAGTGATCTATAATATTCTTACCAGCAGCAGTATATGAGCAAAGCCAGGATAAGAATGAGTAGAATTCCTCCTAGTACACAGGAAATGATCACCACTGCCAGCAGGGCCGCTGTGAAGACACAATTAAAAACATTGTGCTGTCAGAAGAACACCTTCATCAACACTATTCATCATTTTGTACTTATTGAAACTCATTTTAAACTGGATGTATTCTACTTTCATCTTACAAAACCATTCATCGATTTGACTACTGTGTAACTTTCAGATCACCAAACGAATTGTAATATTAGCTAATCATAACCCGAGAAAATTCAAAGTGCAGTTTTAAAAGATTCTTTTATTTATTAAGGGAAAAGGACTAACCAAACGTACTGTACCTAGCCCTACATAAAGAAAACAACAGCTAATAATTGGTAGTAACACCACTGGGAGCAAGTGCTTCAATCAAGCATTTGCAGAAACAGACAATGAGTCTTTTACTTCACTGTGGAGAAATGTTGGCTGACTCTTCTTTGCAGAATTGTTTTTATTCAGCCACATTGGAGGTTTTTCCAGCCATTTCAATTCACGCCATGGACCTGAATTTGACTAGGACAATAGCTCTAGTAACCTTCTGAAAGGTTAAACTTTTGTCTCATCAGTCCAAAGAATATTTTCCCAAAAGTCTTGGGGAACACAAAGATTTGATATGGCAAATGAAATCACCTTTTAAAAACAGCATTTCGTATTTGCTCTGGTGATATTTGTCCAATATTACAATCAGTTTGATGAGTTGAAACATGTGTGACAACGATGTAAAAAAAAAAAAGAAATCAGGAAGCGGGTAAATACTTTTTGACAGCCCTTTATTTTAATCCCTTATGTATAACCTTTGGCTGTCTAACATATTTAGAGCCACTTAGTTATTCAACTAAACAGTAGAACTTTTAACATATCCCTGTGGCTACTTCAGAAGTATTCCCTTAGGTATTAATATATCCTAGTTAGAAATCTCAGCTATATATTTAAATCATCTACTGATCGGAAGGTTGGTAGTTCGATCCCTGGCTCCCACTAGTCTGCATTCCAAATATCCTTGGGCAAGATACTAACCCCAAGATGCTCTCCAATGCATCCATCAGAGTATGAATGTGTGTGAATGGTAGTTAGAAAGCACTAACTAAGCACTAAAACAAACATAGAAGACAGTGCTTGTGTGAATGGGTGGATGTGGCATGTTGTATAGAGCTCTTTGAGTACTCTGGGAAAGCAGAAAATCGCTATATAGGAACCAGTCCATATACTGTGCAGTCTATATGAGTTCTGCTTCTTTAGCATTTCCCCTTTGTAATACTGATGTTATACTCACAGTCATTGCAGTTGAATCCAGCATACCCAAAGGGACATCTGAAAGAAAGCACAGTGACATTCACATTTCAGAACTCCCCAGAACCATAATGGAGTTCAACAATAAATCCACATGGGGGAGCCATATTTTAACACTGTGCTCCAGTGGGAAGACGTGCAAAACCAGAAGACAGAATTTTAAAAAATGTGTGTACTTACGCTTCACACACTTCTCCCACTGGCCTCTGTCCGCTTGGACACGCTGCAAAAAGAAATAGCAATTGTAACATAGAGATAATATTTTGTCCAATGAATTTCAGAGTCGCTGGACAGAAACATTTAGCGCTCATGATGGCACATCCAAAAATAGGAGCACTCTGGGAGTCTCTTCACTTAAAGGCTTGCTATTAAACAGTTTACGAGTTGTATGCTGGATTTGTTTGAGGCCTACGGTCTTATTCTTTAACAGTATTTCCTATAGCCGATCTCCTTGGTCACAACCCTACACACAGAGGCAAAGCTGCAATTCTTCCACATGTTTCCAGGGAAACATCCCCATTAAAAAGAAATGAATTAGAGAGATAAATGAAGGAAGTGTCAGGGGTCGGCATGGAGAAAAGGCTATAGCTCTTGACCTTGTACGTGAGTCTCACTCCCTGTTGATTCTTCTTCTCATTCCCACACAGAATTTTTTTTGCAAGGATAAGAAGGTTTTGTTACAGTTCTCGTGACTGTAGAGGAGCTCGGGAAATTTCGCTTGAGCTTAGTCTTAAAAGCTGCAGGTGGTCAGCTTTAGTTGTCCATGCATGAGCCTTTAATGTATAATACTATTGCAGCAGGATGTTGTGAAGGCAAAAAAACATTAAAGACTTGATGTAAATACTAGAGCATGTGGTAGTTTCCTCATTTAAATCCAACACAGGTCTGGATTACGGAAAAAGTAATAATCCGAAATAGTCACTTTTACCTTTGCAACTAGTGTTTGAGTACACATTGGAGATGTAGCCATCTTTACAGGCACATGCAGCCTGGCCATTTGTATTTGTGCATACTGTAGTGGAGACTTCACAAGGTAATGGGCTCAGCTCACACAGGTTTATACCTAAGAAGGGGCGAGAACAGAACAGGCTATGTAAATCAAAGATACGTTATTAACTGATCACTTGACTTGTATAGAATGTAGTCAGCATTTACTTGTATATGTAGCTTGACCCAGAAGTCCAGTGGAAGTTTTTATAGCTTCATTTATGGCGTTATTAACGGTAGTTTGATTTTCAGTGGTGTCACTAAACACATTATTTACAGTTGCTTGCACGCTACCTGGTCTGGAGATTTATAGAAAACAACCAACAGAGGTTAGACACCTTTTTTAACATGTGGCATCGCATCTTTGTATAACAGGAAAGTGAAACATGTACTCACTCAAGTTGCACAACATCAGACCGGATATACCCTGGCTGTTTCTTGAGGATATCGCTAAGCTGTGAAACAGAATAAACACAGTTTATTGATTAAGTCGACAAATTCTAGAGCTACCCAACATGTTTCTGTCTTCATAACCTACTGTTGCTGAAATTTCAGCAGCCGTCATCTGGAATATCTTTGAAGACCTGTTGAACATTTCATTTTGAAATGTTAAGGTGGTAAGATGAAGCCTCCCTGAGAACACATGGGCTGCGTGATGAAGAGGAAAAGAGAATATAAGGCGACAAATTCACTATTAACACTCAATTACACTTTCATTTACGCATTAGACTTTTTGTCTGAACAGACATAAAATGTTTTAATTTTTTTTTACCAGGTACACAATGTCCATTCAGCAGGTAGGTACCAGTGAGACACTGGCAAGTGCCATTAAGACAGACGCTTTCAAGTGGACATGGGACAGCTGGACACACTGGCAAGCAAGAAAAGAAAATGTATCCCATAAACAAATGTTATTTCTGTTTTGTTAATTACAAAATACCCTTTTTGGCCACATGAAGTGAGCACAAAAAAGAAGTTATATACAGCTTTTATATAACATTTTTTTGCAAGCTAACAGTTGCTTCTTTATATCTCCAGGATATGTGGGAACATTATTATTCATGTCAAGGTGCATGTCTGATTTCATAATGTGTATTCTAGTCTATGGAAAAGCAATTTAAAGGTACAAACCTATGACTGGACTCTGCGTAGTGGTGGGTGGAGCTGGAGTGGTTTGGCTGCTGGTAGTGATCTGTGTTGGTTGCAGGGTGGTGGTTGTGATGTTAGAGACGGTGGTTGGAATGGCAGTTGTAATGCCACTAGCTTCAGTTGAAAGAGTTGTAGTTGCGGTTACTGCAGTGTGATTTGTCACTATATCATCAAAAGAAGAGAAACAATCAGATCAGAAATAGAGATAGAAAATACATGGATATGGGTATTAAAGTATGGTACTGTGTGAATATGCATATTTAATAAACACAATACCTTACTTTAACCTATATCCTAGTATGCACTCTCATGAAATACTGGATGGATTGTCATGAATTTCCTTCTCACCTCCATGATATAGTATATTATTTACAAGAACACACATCAACATGTATCATGCTGTTAGTATTACCTCCTGAGCTTGCTGTTGAGGGACTAAGGGTGGTGGCATTTCCACTGGGGGGTACGGTGCTATTGCCTGGGGAGGTGCTTGGAGGGAAAGAGCTGGAGTTGGAGATGGTGGTGGGTGAAGAGGGTGAGGGTCCAGCTGTGAGTGTTGTGTTTATGGCAGCAGTTGAGGACAAGGGTGCGGTAGTAGATGCAGCAGTCTCAGGAGAGGTGTTAGTAGTGTTTGGTTGAGTAGTTGGAGTTAACACAGCTGTAGAGCTTACTGGGGTGAGTGTTGTTGTAATTGCTGTGCTGTTGCTGGTTTCTTCAGTAGTTGAAGTTGTGATGTTGCTTAGTGGTGTAGTTGCTGTAATAAAAGTTGTGTTGTTGCTTGTGGGTGTGACTGGAGTAATGTTAGTTGAATGGTTGCTTGTGGGAGATGTAACCATAGCCGTGCTGTTGCTTGTGTGTGTAAATGGTGTACTGGCAGTGGTGTCGTTGTTAGTCTGGGTGACTGGTGTACTTGCA